TTTCACTGGCATCACTTTCAAAGATAAAGTTATAGTGGACACAAAGAGAGCAGAGTTAGAACAGGTCAGAGGAAATGGGAAAGAGGAAGCTGATGTCTGGTGCTGAAAGGTAAAGGTGGGAGGTAGGAGTCCCATGCATTCAATATTGAAATTACTACTTTTAAAAAACTTTAAAGAGATGAGATGAGTAGAATCTCCCTCCAATACATATATTCTCATAACCACTTGAAGACTAGGTCTTTGATGATCCTATCCGATGACTGCTTCTTTGGTTAAATGATAATAATAAAATAATTTCTCATCATTTGTGATGAGACCTGGCCATCCTGTGCATCCTGTAATTATTTCCTCTGATGCCTAGTGTTATGATGAATGCTTTCTCCAAATGGTCCTGACCATGGGGACTGGCAGGTGCTTCTGGCATTAAAGCTGCTGGGTAAACATGGTTTGTGAGGACCTTCCAAATTTGGGGTAATAAATAAAATTAGATTCTACTATCATGACATATTGATGACATTTGACATTGGTCCTGACAACACTTATTGAGCATGCAAACATTATGAAGTTAGAAGTAAATAGTATATCATTTATGTATACAACAAAGTGGAAGTCATATAAAGGATGTATATGTGAAAATAAGCTCACTCTATGTTTGCCAAATAACCTTGTTAACATAAAACAGAAGAAAATTTTTCTTGAATGTGGGTGGTAAGAAGACATAACTTATACACAAGAAATAATTGGGAAGGGGCTTGGCAACCTAAATGAACTTAGGACAAATTTTATCTGATATCTTAATTCATGTTCAAAGCTTACTGCAATAGTTGAGTCCAGTGCTGGGATCTTGAAAAATGGTGTATCCTATAGGGATTCATCAATTGCAAATGACAGAGCACAAAAAATTGTAACAAATTGAAATTTTCCCCATTTGCAACTAGTAGTTTAGAAGGTGGACCATTGCTGGCATTGGTTCAGTGGCTCAAGTTTGTCACAATTGAGGTCTGTTTTTTTCTTGGGACTGGAAGTGATTGCTGAGTTCTAGTTACTATGTACTGATGGTGGGACAAATTAGGGTAAAAATGGAAAACAAAGAGAAGATATAAGGTGAAGTGGAAGTCCTGTAAATCAAAAGAGCGAGCCCCCTAACTAGAAACTTTCAGTGAACTTGAACTTACTATTTTATAACCATCACTATGTTACATTGATCCTTCTCTTGGGAACTTATGATTTCTACACTGAAACAGAAAAAAGGGACTATTTTATATAAGGAAAGCAAGTAGCAGTGTATTCCACAAATGGCCATCATTTTTCTAGAAAGAACATTTTCCTAGTTATCACAAGTTGAGATAGCAGATAAGGCAATTCAAGACAGTAAATATTCCTCAATTATCAGTCTGTAAATTTTGTGTAACTCGGGCTGGGGATGTGGCTCAAGCGGTAGC